AGAGAGAGAGAGAGAGAACGAAAATTACGTAAAAAATTTATTCCATATTCATTTCTACTCTCTTCTTCCATTCCTCGATTCTTTCGTTCTTCTCTTTCGTGATCGTCAATTCGTTTCATGGATGACGATCCACGGATGATCTCACTCCCGTTCCCTCTCTCTCCTTTCTTTCTTTCTTTCATCGTTTCATCGTTTCTTTCATATTCGTATTCGATTCGATCGACACGATGAATTTCGTTCGCAACACGACTATGCGAATCAACGGCAGGGGAAAAGTCAGAGGCAGCGGTTTTATCATATCCAATAATATACATATGTTGTTCGACAATCAGTGCGTGAAAAAAAAGAACCGCGTGCTTGCTTGTGCATTGCGGTGCGTTGTCAATATATATTTCCACTCTATATATATATATATATATATGTGTGTAAGTATCCGCGCACCGGAGGACATGCATCCGCGATTTCCACTTACGCAAACCACTTACTTTTGATTTTCTTCTTTGTGCATCGCACCTCTTTTGTTGAAACCATCGGTGACCAACGCGTCCAACACTAGGGATTGCACTAATTTCTTATCACCTGCGAAATCATCGAAATGGTGAATAACGGTTGTTCGAATGAAAATATTAAATATATAGGATATTGTATTGCGTATTATCGTGCTATTGCTACGTGACGAGTACATACAGTAATAAGCATCTTTGTCGGGTTTGCTCGCTTGTTTGTGATGCGAGCTTGGACTCCTTGGCCTCAAGGACATCCATTTCCATCCCGGACTTCGCGTTCGCGTCAAGAAATGTAGAACGCGTTCTTCCGGGGATGGGAACCATTTTTCGGAAGCCGAACTGTATTCGCAATACACCCAGTCAGGATGTACCTTCCAATTGTTCCCCTTGAAATACTCGGTCACTGAAAATGTCAAACAAATACGTTTCAACTCGATTCACCGCGATCGATTTACAGAACATGATCGTTCTTTAAAAGCTTACCGTTTATTATAGCATGTTTGATTTCTTGTTCGGCCAACAATTCAAACATACCGTAACCTTCGGGCAACGCTAATCCCAATGAAAATGGCGTTCCTTCTATCGATTTATAAAAATAATTGTGACGTCTAATCGTGACGCGTTTCTGCGTGCATGTACCGGAAAGAAAATTTTAAATGTAAAAAATGTAAAAATGTGCACGCGTTAAAAGATAAACGAACGTAAAAAAGGAGGGTAGGACGTACTAAAAATATTATTCCGACTCACCATGTTATCGTAGTGAATTTTGATCGCAAAATTAATCTCTCCTTCTTTTTGATCGATCATATCGCGCCTCAACTGTGCGATGCGTGAAATGGGGAGAGAGGGGAGAGAAAAAAAAAATAGGGCAAATATATAAATATATGTATATATATATATATAAGAAAAAAGAACAGAACATTGCTCGAACATTGGCTCGAGATAAGGCTATTCCCCAATTCTTTTTTTCAAACTTGCATGAATGAAATTCCGCAAAGAAAAACGCTATA